TGGTTTCTTCCCAAATAATACAGAACTCGGGTGAATTTGCACCGTCTGACCACCAGACAAAGCCCTGTTGTCATTACATGAACACACAACTTCAGACACACACACACACACACACACACACACACATATATATATATATATATATATATATATATATATATATATATATATATATATATATATATATATATATATATATATAAATTATTAAGTAAAAAAAATAACAATAAAAAAAAATGAAACAACTACCTGTAAGTACCATCAGGCTGTTTTTGGGCGGCATTAATGAAAAAAGAAGCGGCTAAGCATCTGCGGAGCAGAAGCATGTCCCCTCCACATGAAGACAAACCGAGCCCCATTTGTTCTACATTTCTCCTTATTTGACTACATATAAATCGAGCAGCATAAAATTCAAATTACAGACATTTAAAAAAATTTCAAGGCTTTCATAACAAAAAAAAAATGAAAAGGAAATATTGAGAATAACCTGTGGATATCACGAGCATTCCTTAGGGAGCGGATGCTGATAAAATTATCTTTGCACCATTTTCCGAGATTCTTTTCAGCCTTTTCTCTACTGCTAACTAGCTTGCTCTTCTCCAACAACTCATCCGAAGCACGGTATATACTTAGTAGTGTCAAATGATCTCCCTCGCTATTCGAGTAGCTTCTCGAAGCAGCTCGTGACTGCATAATCATACAGATGTTTTTTTTTTTTTAATTAATCATTCCAAGAATTCATTATAACACGCAGAGGAATATTACGTGGCAAGAAGGTAAACGCACCTCTTCCAACTTTTCACGGGGAGTGTAATAGATGGATTCGGTGGAGAGCATTGCAACAATTATTAACATTTCTTCCATGCATTTGAATTGACTGGCAACAATGAGAGCCTTAGAATAAATAGGATCCAATGGAAGCCTGACCATTTGATGACCAACTGGATCGGACAATACACCTTCTTCTGTCAGAGCACCCAACGAGATTAACAACTCCAATGACTTCATGATCGCCATTCTGTACGAATAAACAACAAAAAACCGATTCTTGATAATAAATAATAATAACGATATTTTCAAAGCTGCATCGTGAAAAAAAAAACAATTGTTTCTCCATGACAAAATCACCTGTCTGGTGCTTCAATGAAATCAAACCCCATGATGTCATCAATGCCCAGAGCTTTAAGAAACAAAATAACATTTGAAAGATTGGATCTTCTTAT